AATAAATTAATTCGTATGGGGAGAAGCAGACGGTCCTTCTGTGCCATTGAGTTTCCACTTTTCGACCCTCCGACCATCGCATCAACAATTCAAGCAACATTTGCAACACAATGAATACTACATGTTTTTTTTTCTCGATAATGAATTGGCCGCGAAACGAATCGACAGGAAAGTTAATTCAGTCACACAATAAAAGTCTACTTTATGTATATAAATTATATGAATACTAAGTGAAATTTATTATATACATACATTTTCTATATGCAAAAAATTGTAGTCTTTTAATCAATTAAAAGAAAACCAATGAATTCTTCATTTTACTTGAAAAAAAAAACTATATTTAATTACATTTGCAATAATTAAAGATTATTCAAATGCAATTGAAATAATTTGATTCAAATGTAAATATTTCATTAAATTTTGTTAAAAAATTGACGTAACTAACGTATTTTTATAAAAAATAACTAAACTGTTTAATTTTTAATAAAATTGCAGTGGTTTTTGTCAAGTTTTTTTTTAACAAAGTTTAAAGAATTATATATTATAATTTTTATACAACTATTTAAAAAAAAAACTGTTAGAATTTATAGTAAAATGAAGCCAAAATAAATTAAGTTACTTTTGATTTACAATTTAAGTTTTCTGGGAAAGTTCGAGCGAACGAAAACTCCCAGGGTTTCTAAACCGAATCGACAGGAAAGTTAATTCAGTCACACAATAAAAGTCTACTTTATGTATATAAATTATATGAATACTAAGTGAAATTTATTATATACATACATTTTCTATATGCAAAAATCGTAGTCTTTTAATCAATTCAAACCAATGTATTTCTTCATACTACTTAAAAAAAAAACTATACTTATTTATAATAATTACATATTTCATTAAATTTTGTTAAAAACTTGATATAACTAACGTTTTTTTATAAAAAATAACTAAACTGTTTAATTTTTAAGAAAATTGCAGTGGTTTTTGTCAAGTTTTTTTTAACAAAATGTAAAGAATTATATATTATAATTTTTATTCAACTATTTAAAAAAAATACTGTTAGAATTTATAGTAAAATGAAGTCAAAATAAATTAAGTTACTTTTTGATTTATAATTTAAGTTTTCTGGGAAAGTTCGAGCGAACGAAAATTCCCAGGGTTTCTAAACCGTAACGTGATAAGTAAATGGTTGTTAATTCTTTTGGGCGCTTTTCCGTCTTTCCATAAAGGGTTGCAACATCGGATGTTATGAAAGATGATTATGAAATATTGATTCGAGTTAAATTGCGTGTCGACGCCGGCAAACGACGGAGTCAACGATGGGGATTTGTGTTGGAAAAACCGCACCGACACGACGCGACACGCGACTTAATTTCCTGTCGATTAGGTCCTTCTTTGCAAAGGGCGTCGGACGCGTGTCGCAATAGGACGCTACTCGTTCCATCCCCCGCACACTTTCCACCAGAACCGGATGCAATGGTTCGAGGAACAACCCGCTAATTAACCAGACACAAAGTGTGTTGAAACGCTTCAAACGATTGGCTATTTAAAATTTATGTTTCTGAAAGACACGTGCCCGCGTTTCTCGACAGTGGGAAACAGTTTTTCGTCGATTCATTGTCGACTGCTTTCCTTCAGTCAGCACAATAAACGGTTAATTTAATTCCTGTAATCGTATAATTGAAGTTCACATGACAACAACCAAAATATAAGAAATAACACATTGTATAAATATTAACTGACAAAATTCATAGCTTATACTTAATTATACACTTAATACATATATTAACTAGAAAGAAATGTATTCAAACTTTTGTTTCTCATTGAAATTTTATGAAAATCAGTGTTTCTAAAACTATATTTTTAAAATTTAAATTTTGATTATAAAAATGTGTTGGTTTAAATCAAAATTTAAATAATTTTCAAAGATGAAAACATGAAAACATTGATTTTGAGCAACAATTCAGGATTTCTATAAACTTTACATATCGAAAATTCATCGATTTTTTTTCAAAAATATCAAAATTTACATTTCAAATAACATTTTGTTGTTCATAAAATTTTGTCAATATTCAACAAAATTTAAAGAATTTTCATAAATCGAGGTTTTTAAAACGTTTCGTCAGTATTTCAAAAAATATGATATTTTCATTTCAATTAAAAATTAATTGCTCTAAGGCTTTATTTCTTCTATTTTTTTTTGTCGGATTTGCAATCATTTTTATACAAAATTTAAAGAATTTAAACAATATTTTTATATATTGATTCAACGTAGTAAATCAATGTTTCTAATAACTGAAAAACTTTAATGTTTATGAAATTATTTAAAAATTTTGTAAATATTTTTTAGTTTTTGATACAATTCTCACGTTTTGCATATATTTGTTCTTAAAACTATATCTCCGTTTTTTCATATTTTCAACAAAATTTAAAGAATTTTCATAAATTGAGGTTTTTAAAACGTTTACTTATCATAAATATAAAGTCAATATTTAAAAAAAAATGATATTTTCATTTTAATTTTTAAAAATACTTAATTATTTCCAAATTAAATTTAATTTGAAAATCATTCAAATTCTTAAAAATTCTTCTAAGGCTTTATTTCTTCTAATTATTTGTCGGATTTGTAATCATTTTTATACAAAATTTAAAGAATTTAAACAATATTTGAATAAATTGATTCAACGTAATTAATCAATGTTTCTAATAACTGAAAAACTTTAATACTTATGAATATAAATTTTTTTTTGAAAATTTGTAAATATTTTTTAGTTTTTGATACAATTCTATATGGTTTTCATGTTTTGCATATATTTTTTCTTAAAATTACCTCCGTTTTGTCAAATTTTCAAGAAAATTTATAAAAACAGCAAAAATTATTATTGTTCTTACAAAACTATTAACATTTTAACTTATTTAATATTTAAAAGGAATTCAACAAATTATGATGATAATTATTTATTAATAATTAAATTTTAGAGATTGTAAATGTTAAGATTACAAAGAACATCCCTTAAGTGAATTATGTTCACTTCCAACTGAATTTTCTTTTGAGCAATAAAAGAAATTTGTCAGCAATTTTCGAGTGCGTTAAGAACGTTGATAAATTGATCCGAGTGTTAAATTCCTTTGTGTGAGTGGATGTTACGAAGTGCGAAACCGTTGGACAAGTCTGCGTGAAATTCGGCGGTTTCACAAGATTCCCCACAAGAGAGAGAATGCGTGCGTGTATGGAGAAGAAACGAGAATGGGAACCATCCTCGTTAGTTCCGGTCCCGAAAAGATTAGATCCGCAACGCTGCAAATTGTAGTGCTTACGTAAAAGTCATGAAGTGGACCCTCTCCAAAACTATCCTTCACGTTGTTAGGCCCATTTCTACCCTCTCCTAATTCATCTAATTTTATTACGCAGAATGGGGCAAAAAGAGAGAGAGAAAAAAATGTGCACTTTTTCGGCAATTTTCTGGTGATTTTACGTTCGGATGGACGCATGGGGCCGTCGAAGCCAGGTGGGAGCATCACATCATACACAAAAGGGCGCTCGCGCGACGATGCCCTTTTCATTCCCTCCGCCTCGACTTATTTACTTTCCACAAAAACCAAATTATTTTTCTCTAATAAATTCTCGCCTCTTTAAAATTGTCCAATGGGGGACGAATGTACGCGACACGTGCAGACATTTGTCAAACGAACCTTCAACGACAAAGAGAAAAAAACATCAATTTTACTCTGAAATTAACAAAAAATTTCGACCGCAGATTTGAATGCCCTACGTGTATAATAGCAGAAGCGTGTTTTTGGGGGAGAAACACACAAAATCGTATGTTTTTTTATTATATCGAAACCCTTAATTTCCCTTTTTTTTATTACGCACCATAAATTTACATCCTTTTTAAGTGAAAACACAAAAATAATGTGAATCCTACATAAAAGGTACTTATTTTATTGAGATTTATTTACAAAAAAAAAATGTATAAAGTGAATAATATTTAATCGATTTAGTATACTATTTCATACACGCAATTTATTTCAACCGCAATAAATAAATATTAAATATTTTTGAGTTAAAGTAGATAATAGTTTTCCTACAAAATATACTTAGAGAATTGTATAGGAATCAACTAAATTTAGCTAAATTATTGTAAATATTGTTAAGATAATTTGATTTCATCATTTAAAGCAAAACTATAAAAAAAATTATGTAAATTGAATACTAATTGTGTTAATTCTTGATGAAGTCAAGAAGATTATTATAGTTTAATAAAAAATTGTAATTGAACTTGATTAGTTCTTCTGGTTTCTTAAGAAATATTGAAACTGTTAATGTAAGGAATTGTTCAAGCAGCCTCCTCTATCGGCAGTAGCTTGAACAGGAGGGTGTAGCAATTCTTAGGGTTGATTTTAAATTTAAATGATAATTAACTAATAGTAAATGTAGTGTAATACAAAAAAAATCTCTTATATTTAGATTTTTCGATGAATTTGTTGATGATCTATTGGAGTTGAATAAGATATTGAAATACGTTGTTCAGTTTTATGTTTTTCTTATCACAGTTGCGTCGATTTAGGCAATGATGTTTATGTAATTCTTTCGGAATATTTTGGGGAAATAGTTGTAGCCTTGAGGAATTGGGTCAGTGTCAAAGACGTTCAGGGACATTCCCGTTCTTCTTCAGGATTCCCCATTAGATAGATAGGCGGCTTCTGCTGCTGCCTCCACTCCGTTCCACTTTGCACACCACGTGCAACAAGTGTTCCGGTTTCCACCCATTTCCAGTCAGCGAGTTTTTTTTGTTGCGATCGCAGTAGCAGTAGATGAATGCAATAAGAAGGATGGCATCAGCAGGACCATTGAAATGCAAGATCGGCCCGTCCGTCCTCAACTCGGATCTGTCTCAGCTCTACCAGGAGTCCCAGAGGCTGCTGGACAGCGGCGCCGACTATTTACATTTGGACGTAATGGATGGCCACTTCGTGCCTAACCTCACTTTCGGCCATCCGATCGTCAAATGTTTACGCTCGAAAATCAAGAACGCCTTCTTCGAAACCCACATGATGGTCTCCAATCCTGATCAGGTGAGAGAGGCATCAACATCATCGAATACAAAACTTTCATGTACTTTTTGTTAGTGGATTGAACCCATGGCTGATGCTGGTGTGAACCAGTACACCTTCCACATTGAGCCGTGCACTGAAATCATGAAGACCTGCCGCAAGATCAGGGAGGCTGGCATGAAGGTTGGCCTAGCTCTGAAACCGGGCACCGGCATAGAAGCTGTCAGACAATACGTAGATCAAGCTGACATGATCTTGATCATGACTGTGGAGCCAGGATTCGGTGGACAAAAGTTCATGGAAGACATGATGCCCAAAGTGCAATGGCTCAGGCACAACTACCCACTCTTGGATATCGAGGTTGATGGAGGTGTTGGCTTGAGCACAATCAATGCCTGCGCTGATGTAAGCACACAACCAAATCAATTAATACGAATCATTATTAATAAAATAACAATTTTTCAGGCCGGTGCTAACATGATTGTGTCAGGAACTGCCATAATCAACGCCCCCTGCTCACGTTCTGTGATCGCCAGCTTGAGGGAAACGGTGGAAAGCTCCATCCACAAGTGCAACGTCTAATTCTCATCGTTCACATCCAAAACAAAGCGAAATGAATAAGCAAACATTGTGATTGTTCTTTCCTACATTATATTTTTTTATGATACGAAGAAAAAATGAAAACCCACACTAAACAAATAATAACTGATCAGCAAGTGGAGGAAATAGTTATATGTAACTGATGCCGTTTGTTCAATCTCTCTCTATCTCAGCGAGTAATGTTTCTTAGCAGGTAGAAAAAAGACAAAAAGTTCTTTGCAATAATGTTGATATATATATGAAAAAAGAAAACTAATAATCTCAATTTTTTTTTAGTAATTAATAATGTTTAATAATAATAGAGAATTGAAGACTCAAACATTGGAAATAATGCAGAAAAAAAAATGATGATGATGTATGAGAATGTTAAGTTTAATTATTATGAAAGTGGTCTTGCTGCCATATTGTTGAACGAATTTATTAATTGTATAAACGTTGTTTATTCGTTTAATAAAAATTATTGAAAAAATTATGAATCGAAACATTTATTTTCCTATCCATAATATTGATAAGTTTTTTTCTCATTTAGTCAGAGTGAACAATTTTACAAATGCCTGCTAAACTTTGATCTATTTCATGAAATGGAGAAATGAGAAAAATATTTTTAAAGGGAGGCGTAGTAACATCAAGTTTGGAAACCACTGCATTAGTTGTAAAGTAACTAACAAAATTTATACTTTCTGATAAAGCACAGAAAAATGTTATTAATATACTTGGAAATTTGTGAACAAATGCAGATATAATATATTTTAGGCTTAATTATTATTAGGACTATTGCTTTTTGTTCAATTAAAAAGATTCAAATTTATATATTTAGTATAGGCAACCAAACGTACTACAAAATTAATGATTTTCTATTATAACTAATAATATTTAATTATAACACTTATCAATAGTACAGAAAGCATAAATATTGCTTTTTTTAATTATTTAATGAAACATACTATGTAAAAGAAACGTTTGAACCTTAGACTTCAGGCATTCTAAAATAGATGTCACTACAAGTCTTGTGTACTAAATTAATCCTCACTTCATAGTTACATAATTTATATTTGCTTATTAAGATATGATCCATGTTTAAGAATCATGTTTTCCCTAAGGTATAAACTTGTTTCCTGCATCGGTTTGCAAATCAATCATTTCTAGTTTTCAAAATTAATTTTATCAAATTCAATATTTTAAACATTAGTTGTAAAGTAACTAACAAAATTTATACTTTATGATAAAGCACAGAAAAATGTTATTAATATACTTGGAAATTTGTGTACAAATACAGAAATAACATATTTTAGGCTTAATTATTATTAGGACTATTGCTTTTTGTTCAATTAAAAAGATTTTTAATACTTTTAGAAAAAAAAATCAAATTTATAAATAGGCAACCAAACGTACTACAAAATTAATTATTTTCTTTTATAACTAATAATATTTATTTATAACACTTATCAATAGTACAAAATCCATAAACATTGCTTTTTTCACTTATTTAATGAAACATATTTTGTAAAAGAAAGGTTTGAACGTTAGACTTCAGGCATTCTAAAATAGATGTCACTACAAGTTAACCCACAGTTCATAGTTACATAATTGACATATGCCAGTGGTTTCCAAACTTGATGTTACTACGCCTCCCTCAAAAGTATGTAATCATTTGGCGCCACCCCTTTTATAAAAGGAACGAGCATTACAGCATATAATCATATGCATCTTTTTTATTCATTCTATGTATTATAGTTTTCGAGTAAATCAATGAAATGTAAAATCACTGCTTTTTCGAGCATTTTTTAAATTGCAAACGAAATCTTACAATGACCGAAATGCATTTCGAGTTCGTATTTCTAGTTATATATTTACAAGGCAATATCCATTTAGTTTTCAAATTAATTCCTGGGAAACATCGATTCAGTTAAAGGTTTACGTGTTTTCGCCTTTCATGTGTCTCAGGGTATAATAATGTACAAGGCATGTACACGAGCACACATAAAAGCCCATAGGCCTGGATCCTTCTTCCCACACATTTCGTTCGTTAGAGACGTCCTCCGGTAATGGACAATAACACACTACATAATGCCGACCCCGGCTCTAGCTCTTTTCGTTTTCCCATTGTCCATTGTGCGTTTGTCTATCTATATATTCAGTGATATGTGGACGAGGGAGGTGCTCTTCTTGCTCTTAATCTTGAAACTCACGCGAATACGCATAACAAAAATCTCATCTATATCTCATCGACTCCCATAAATCACGTTCCTCCAAGTGTTATTATCTCTGATGAATCAACATTTCGATAGTTGTTCCATCTGTTTATATCAAAAAAAAAAAACTTTAATTACATAAGTAAATTTATTCTAATTATGCACGCCTTTAAATTGAAGTTCGTCTTGGAGCGATAATCATTTTAATTAACCGATGTTGATTAGTTTTACTAAATCGGACGCAGCCATCTGGAGTTTCCTTTGGTTATTGGTAATTTATGCGATTTCCTTATTTGTCGAGACTCGATGTCTGTGACGATCCTTAATACTGTTAATTACACGAGTTTAATCGATATTACTCGATGTACTTGATAATTATTAATACAATAAGATCGTTAATTGAAGCGTTCGATCCAATTTGATGAATGGCTCAATAATAAATTATATTAGAGCGTATTTTAATTGCACCAATTTTTGTGTGTGTGCAATTATTTATATTTTGTTATTCGTACGTGTCGAGTGTGAATGCGGGTACTAATCGGTCTTAGATTTATGTGTCTCGATGCGGCCAATTAATTGTGTCGCGAAAATGGATGGATTTTGCCTTCGGTTTTATGGGAAATTAACGGACTTTACTCGACCGTAACTTAATTACTACAGACCTGTGTACGAGATAGAAATCTGTACGATCGACCTACGTTTATGTACTTCTTCGATTAATCCTTTTTGTTTGTTTTTCGAAGTTGTTCCTTTTCGACAGGACACTGAATTTTCACTGAAACGACTCAATCAAAAGGCTTTATGCTTTTCCTTATTAAGAAATGCAAAAATATTAGTTTTAGATACTTTCCTTTATATTTTGATTATATATTTGCACAATATATTGGATGAAGTAAAAAGTTCTGAAGCTTTTTTCTCTTTATTTCGACGATGAAATTAACAACCTTAGAATTTTCGAATTTAGATCAAATACGAGCCGTTTCGTTCGATAACTTTTGTCCATTTTGAAGGCAATTTCATAATTTTGCGATTGAAGAAATCCTCTTCTCTATTGGTAAAAAAACTTGTCCAGCTTATTTTCACAAGCCTCTCTTGAGGCTAGTTTTCTACCATCATCTTGTTTACAATTCTGGAATCTTCTCGTCTAGCGCCTGCTTTAATCTTGTCAGCTGTTGACAGTATAGGTCCGAATTTGAGGATTTCCTTCCAATCCCACCAAAAACACAGCAAAACCTTCTTGATCGTTAATCCGGACTTGTCGATTGTTTTGGCCGTCTCACCGCGGTTGGACCATGATCTTTTTCGCCTGTTGTCCTCGTATGTGACCCATTTTTCATCGACAGTCACCATCCGCTTCAAAAATGGGTCGATTTCGTTACGTTTCAGCAAAGAATCGCAGGCATCAATTCGCTCCAAAAGGTTCTTTTGCTTCAATTCGTGTGACACCCATACATCGAGCTTCTTCTTGAGATCCGCCTTATGCAAATAGTTCCAAACGGTTTTCTGGATAATCTTCAGTTCTTGGACAATAGAATAAGTGTTCGCATGCCGTTGCGACTCGACGATCACCATTTTCGACGATTACATTTTGGAACGTTCTAACACACAACTGGATTTACTAAATACAAAACTGTCAAAGAACTTTTTTTAAAGCATTATGTCGCCTTTAAGTCGCAGTATAGAATGACAAGATGTAAAGTATAAATCGTGAGATATGGCTCACTAAAGTTCAGAACTTTTTACTTCACCCAATACTTGTCAAGATAATTATCAATAACAATTATTTGGTAACAAATTTTCTTAAATAATAGGTATATATTTCATTTAGCTACCGTAATGTTATAGTGGTGTCTCTTGGGAAGTATAATTTCGAAAATATCTGGAGTTGTGTAGCCAGAAAGGGCAAAGTAAAAAAGGACATCGATTACCGCCGTCGGCCGGGATCTAATTTATAAACACCAAGTAGAAACTCGTTCTTACTTTCCACCATTCCATCTTCCTCTTGCTGCCTCCGCGTTTCCTTCCCTTAATTTCGCCTTTTCGTCCTTTCAATAAAATGATTTTTTTTTTGATACGCGCCTTGTTTATGGACGAGTCGCCGAGGAACTCGTTTTATTAGCGCTTTCGTGTCCGATGCCAAACACGTCACCCTCATTAAAGGCCCAAAACGAAATGCGTTTTATTATTTATCGGTGGAGCGCGATGCCAGGAGGAGTAGAGGATTTTATGGACCAGCCCCGTGTGTTTATCATTTCCCCACTTGTTCTTATTTACTTATTTTGTCGTCCTCTTGCTTTCGCTTTGCGCATCTCTCCTCTTCTCTCCACTCTTCCTTTTGCTCGGCAAATTTATTATTTGCTTCGCCTTATTTAATTGCGACCCCGAGCCACACCGTCGTTTACTCGCTCGCACTTAACAGCACGTACTTAATATACTCGAGGTCTGCCTGCCTGCCGGCCGACCGGCCTCGCAGGGGAAGAGATGCAAATGAAAGGATCCACCTCTCGTTTTCGCTCTCGTAATTGAATGAAGAAATTAAACGATTTTATTAACTCTCCTCGGGATTAAAACATTAAAATACTCGTTTTTTTTTGTTTTGATTGCGCGAATGGTCGCCCCCAGACGCATGTAGCCCGAATCTTTATTCCCGATCGCTGAAACTGAAAAACCTTATAAAATGAGCGAGAATTTTAATTATGTGCAGAATCTTGTTATTTCGCATCTTTCGTACTTCGTTTTTGTATCATGAATTCCGTAATGAAGATTGTTTTTAATCATTAATTATCACTGATTTCAACTGTAGAATGTGCGACTGCTGTAGGCTTTTGGACGCATCAAATATAATTAATAACAAGTTTGTTTATCTTTCCGTGATGTGATTGGCTTCTAAAAAATTAGAATTTCAATTTGAGCCCACGTGGGGCATTGCGCAAGAGAGAACGGGGAGAGTCATTCCCTCTAATGGACTGAGCGTATAAATAATGAAACCGTTTATTTAATTCGGCGGATCCCTCCGCGGGCAACGCTTTTAAATTTGAAAATTTTCCCAAAAGAGAAAGCGAGAGCTTTCGTGGGCGTCATCTTCAATTACTCTCGGCAAGATCGACTCCCATTTCTTCCTCCTTACCTTTTACACTGCAGAACGACGATCATGACGATGGCTCCGATCACTGCCGATATTAATGAGACTATGACCAAGGTGAGGACCCAGCCCAACTCTCCCGGAGCTTCTGGAACAAAGAAAGTGTTAATTCGGGCCACCTAGTTTCCTCACCGTCAGACAACATAGCATGATGCAAACACACACACAATCGAACTCTACAGTTCTTTAATTACCGACGGACTAGTTTTCACATTCATCTTCAAACATAATATCAAAATATTAAATCGGTTCTGCCCTTCCGGACTCCCGTTCCATTACGTAATTTACGATCGCAACGGTCTCTTTCTTCTTTGTGCGTTTTGGAAAAATTATGCTTTCTTTATTAAATAATTCGTTTAGCTTATTGCAAATCTTGCTGAGGTAATGTTGGATCTTCTCACGGCCTTTGCTGAAACGAGAGTGGAAAACATGTTCTCCTCTAATATTTGTTCTGGACGAGGGAATTACTACCGAGAAACGCTTGCTGCCTGCCCCCATCATTGAAATACAAACGCCACTACCTGGAAGGAGGACGTTATTATTCACGGCGGGCCCGGAATAAAATTTGGATAAAAAAAAATGTAATAAATGGAACGCGATTTCGTAAATGTACACAATGCTGCTGCAATGCATTCGGGACGAAAGCCCTTATTGTTTGCTTGCGATTTATAAAATGAACAATAACAAAAATATTGGATATTAGCACGTATAAAATGCGTGTTTTATTCAAAATTTATGTATGTGAGACATGTTTTGAAAGAAAAGTAAAAATTATAATAAAATATTCTTCTCGAAGCGGACGTTTGTATGAAATGATAAATCTTGTAGTGGGAAACATTATACATGGAAATAGCGATAATAAATAAGAAACTCTTGGAAGTTTGGACTCGTTTCGTTCGTGATGAATGTGTAGCAATGGAATTCGTAGATGTTAATGCAATTATTATGTATATTATAAACTTGAGTTTATTGTGAAATTGGAGAATATATTAACAACGAATTGACTAACATTAGAGGATTCTCGTGACATCAATAAAGAAATTGCAATAATGTTAATGGGATTCGGATTTGAATTTATATTTCCATCAGTTCGCTTAACAAATGGGTCGGTCTGTGCATTGGAAACAAACTGCGGTGGTATAAATTTCATTGAAATGCGCGCAGAGCGAACAGAAGAGGAGAAGAAGGAGGATGAGGATATGCGGATTATAATTTCAAATTTGTATATAAGCCGGAACGAGAATGCAACGATACAACGAGGCTTATGATAAATCGAGGCGTCCCATGGTAATAAATACGAGCGATTGCCGCACGATAAAAGTGCCACAAATGATTCGACTCGCATTGAGTCACATCAATAAACATGCAGATCACCTCCGCTCCGCTCGCACTCGCACTCATTTCGTATTCAGATTTGCATCCATTATTTACGCTTAATTAACATCGGACATGATGTCTTATGTCTTCATAAAAACAATGCTGATTAATAGCTAATGCCTTTCAGGTGGAATGAAAATGAAAGGTGGAAGGGAAAGGTCATTTCTACTTGAAGATTACATGAAAACATTACAACACTTTAGATCTGAGAAAATTTCGAGTGGTGGTTGTAATTAATCAAGAGCGTTGAAACAACAGGGCTTGTGGGTATATCCATGGCAACAGGATGTTTATTATAATTTTGTAAAAGCGAAATAATAAATCAGTGAGTTTGTTGTTGGTGATCGAGGCGAGCGGACGATGCAGGAGTCCAACAGGCAGATAAACGAGGCGAAGGAGAGCTACGTGGCGCTCCTGGAGATGTCGCACATTCTGAACACCGGACTCGATCCGGAATGCCTTACGCTGTGCGTGAGACTGATCGAGACCGGCGTCAATCCGGAAACGCTGGCGATGGTCATCCGCGAGCTGCGACGGGAGGTGGCCAAGTTCCAGGAGGTCTGCTGCGACGAGAACAGCGAGAGCACCTGACATCGTAGAGCAAGCAATAAACTGTAGAGCAGGTGCAAAAGGTTGATTAGATGTTTATTCTGAACTTGATTTGCGAAATTGATGGCGTTCTTCGGCTGAAGCGCGGCGGCTCCACCCGGGGCGTTTCGAATTTCCGGCTGACGATAATTGCTTCATTAAAAGTTGCGGCGAGAGAACCGTCGGATCTCGTTATATAATGCACGATGCGTGTGTGAGCTCTCGCATTTTCTTGCGCCTTCTCCGTAGCTGTTAGAGGTGGCGAAGATACGCACCAAGCACAGCGTTGGATGGAATGCGGTACCGCCAGCGTTATGCAACTCTCTCTCCTTCGCTCTCTCTTTCTCTGTGTGCATGTGTATTTTCTTGTGAGAGGCGCACTCCCACGTGGATCGCCGCCTATGTTGCAGAGATCCCCGAGATCGCTAATTAGTTGCCAACTCTCCCATGAATGCACACGTGTACGTATCCCGTTTCGAGGACTCTGGATCTGATCGGAATGGCTAATTGATTTCGGAATATTGAAAGTCATCCACTTGTGTAGCCAGAGGAACCAATTAAGGATCCATCCAAGTCTTCTTCGCGCGAAGCCTTCTTTTCTCATTTTTTTGATATTCTCGAGCACTCAAAGCGTACAGGTTTCTTCAATTTCTACGAATTATCATGTACATGATTGCACAGCACTCAATTTCAAGAACAAATCTAGTACGTCTTTGCAATTATATGCAGGAGAAACCTCCATCAATTTTCTTTCAATCCTTAAGAAACCAAACGATTAAGATTCGTTCAATTATTTATAACATATTTTAGTTATTGATTCGCAAAATTCTTATATTTATATAATTTGATTATGGATCATTGAGTTGTAATTGAATTGAAATTAAATGCTTATGTGAAATATCTTTGGGTTGCAAGACCACCCACTGGGGGGAAATGTAATATTACGTTTTTGCGTAACAAGGTAACAAACCCTCGAAAATGACGAAACTTAATTAAGCAATTACTTATTTGAAAAGCAACGATGGCAAAACGAAAATTCAGCTTTCGTGCGCGCAGCGAATTCCTCGCTAAATTGGGTGTTTTTTTATTTCGTGATGAAGATATAATTATATGGGGGTTTCCTGTTGTGTCCTCGCCGTGAAGCGGAGATCGTGCATGCGATGCATTTTTCGGTGCGCGTGTTCTTTTTTCTTCATTATTATTATTATTGCTGTTGTTGATGATGGTAAGTATGTTTGTTGTATTATGTTGTTTTACCGAGGGTCGTGTCCAGGGTGTAGGTGCTCTTTCCATCCTGCCATGCCCAGGAGCACAGGTCGCAGGTGGTGACTCCATCCGGGGTGGCAGTGTCGTCCAAGAAGAGGGGCCTAGGAGGAGGCGGCACGAAATTGCCGGACCACAAACCGCCGTCTCCGTCGTCGAGACGCAGGGCGGAGACGGCGTCCTCTTCGGCGACTTCGCTCCACCAATCACCCGTCGAGTCGTCGCTCAGGTTGTTCACGTTGGGAGCAACAACGGTCGACACCTGAAACAAAACAAAAATAATTGTCAACAACAATTGATCAAACCGATTCCAAGTAAAATGTTGGTAAAATAATGTTCATGTTTATTACTATGCGCGCATATATGTTTGGAAGAAGTAAAAACTAGATTGCATCGCGTGACAGCATTAAACGTTTTTCATCCACGATTTGCTTCTGTTTTGCGATATTAGAAGCAAACGTAATTGGAAGATTGTAACGGTGCTGAAAATCATAATTTCATGTAATCAAGCACAGAGTATGAAAACGAAATGGATATATAAAAGTGCAGTTTAAACTTTAGGATTAATATATTGGAATAATGATGATGATAATGTTGTACGCTGGAAACGTGAATATTTCGTTTGTCTGATTCTAAAATTGAAAGATCATCTGCGCATTTCAAGAATCCAATTTAAGATCCAATTTAAACAGTCACATTTCCTGTAATTGTAAAGCTATAAGGAGAAACGTTTGCTCGGATGTAATAGAGCCAGAAGCACATGAAATGCAATATAACAAGTGTTACGTAACTGTAATTGTCGTCATTAAGCAAATCTTTCCTCGTGCCATATCCGTTCTGTCGACTCGCAATTAAAATCGTTACGTTTCCTTCTTTTGCACATTTTCACGTTGTTTTTGATTTTTGTTTTTGCATCTGTTGAAACAGTTCGTTTAATTCCGTTGGCAGATTATTAAATTAAATTAACCCCGGAGAGATAATTACCGTGTAAAAGAAGAATAAATTAGCGTTTTTCTTTTCTGCCGTCGCGCAACAGGCGATGATAATAAAATATTTAAATTACCCGCCCAGCACAGGGTTCGTTGTCCTTGTTCACTTCTTCATCCGCGGTGCGCTTCGAGGATGAATTTATTATGCACGTGTAATTTCGTTAAATTAAACAACGAGAGAAAATATCAATTACCCTCGACTAACTGTTATTTATTAATTCCTCTCCTCCTGTCCGTTCATTTCGGTTTGTTTTCTGCTAATTATTTTTAATTGCGAATAGGTGTGTGTGTATGCCCCGGTATGGAAGAGGCAACAAAAGCTGTTCATTTCGGATTAGCATAAGCGCGATGTCTGCAGGAAGAACACGAATTTATACCCGTGGTCTTTTTTAATTGATGGAAACGCGTGTGGGGGATTCTTTTTGTACGTGTATGCAAAGCAGGCGTCTTCAAAAATTTGACTCACAAATGGATAGGAAAGAGCATTCCTCCAAACTAATTGCAAATTAATTACCTCGATTCGTTATCTACCCCGAGGCGATCTAAATTACTTTTCGACCGTTTCGATGTGTAATGTGTGGGACTTGGAGAGGAGTTTTGTTACGAACCGAAAAACTAAATTAGTTTGATGGTTTTGCTGTTGGAAATTTTGGAAATTAAAGATTATTTTACGGGGACATCTCAAGGTCGGTGCAATTTGGAATTCAAATGATGCGAGGTGAAGACGAAACGACGTGCCGGTAAATTGAGTTATTATTTATGATTTTTCGAAGTCCGGTAGTGCAGCAGCGCCTTCAGCTCCGAAAATAATAGCAGCGGACTGTAGACAAATCAGCATAAATAATTGAACAATTATTGGAAATTATTCTTTCGAGGTGGAAGAGAAGGATATTGTTGTTGCTGTTGCTGCTGCATCCATTCGAAAAGGCGTTTCCATTGTTTCGGTAAACGGCGAACCTTTAGATTCGTGGAATGCGGCCGGGTCTGGTCGCGCACTCCTAATCATATTTAGATGATGATGATGGCTCAATTCTACTTCTCCTTAGGAGACACATTTTTTTTTTCTACAAATCTCCACTTCGTACTTAATGGCTCAATTTCTACTGGTTAGAAAACATAACGAGTCCGCTTCGTGCAATTATTGTTTGTATCATCGTCTTTTCAACTGTATTCTACTGAATTTAGTCTTGAATTTTTATTTCGGTTTGCGCTGGTCGGAAGACGTTTTATTGACCTTAATTATTGGTTGCCACCGACAACAAAATGATGGCCTACATATGTCCTTCATCGTCGTTGTTTCGATACGTTTTTTTTCATCGGTTTCCTCTAGTTTTTTTTTTGTTTTGTTTTGGACCTCTTTGTTTTAACGATCGTTTCTCGTACCTGATTATTCCGGGCTTCTGGTTCGGACGTTGCCTTTTTTCTTTCTCGTGCTTCGGTTACACACCCATAGCATTTTCGGAAATTATCTCAGGTAACAATATCTGTTTTTCGTTTCGCGATTGAAGGTGAAGATGCGGGTCATAGTAGATGACGAGATTAATTGGTTTTCGGTTGACTAATAGGTAAATCGTTAGTTTTTGAGTTAACACCGTTGGCTGCTACCGCGATGGATGGTTTCTGGGAAGATGTTTGAATAATTTATCACCAATTAGTGGGTTCACCGCGAAGATGTGTCTCTGCACCGAAACGCGCGGTCCGCAGCCAAAACGTAATTAAGATCTCTGTTGATTTCTTTCACCGTTCTCCTCCTTTGCATTGATTTACTGTGGAATCCAAGTGTTCTCCCTACCTCATCGGCTTTTTATTATTATTGGTAAATTAATCGTCTAATGATATCCTTTATTTAATTATGTCGGTATGCGGTCCTGTTTAGATTATGTGTGGTTTGTGTTGAAACTTTTAATATGATGGTGATAAGTAGTTTAGTGGGAAATTTATTAGATCAATATTCTAGTTTTTTTTCAAGTTCTATGAAAAAATTAGTAATTAATAAATTGAACGTAATGAATTGTAGCTTTTATTAATATAATCTTGTTTGTATGGTTGTGCATTGTGTGTATATAGAAAGGTTAATTAATTGATGTGAAATGTCGTGTATTACACGGCGTAATTAATAACGTATTTATTGGATGGGCAGATGAAGACGAATTTTAGAATATTGATTTTCAGGTTGTTATAAACGTTGCCCAAAGTAGGCTAATGTTTGTGTATGTTGCATTGTATGAGCTTGTGTTTTTTTTCGGTGAGACGTCGGAGGGGCCAATAGGTTAAATCAATTTGTTTGGAATTGTTGTTGGGCAACGATTTTCCTATGGTTTTCTTCGGTTCGATCAATGGCCATCGAGCGTGCGAGCGGTTTCGGTTCTCCTTCAATCTCTCTCTTTTTTTTGTGTGAGATGCCTCGGATATAATGGCCTCGATTGTGTGCATCATCTTGCGTTCGTTCGCGTGTGCATGTGTGTGGCGGAGATCCAAATCCGAAGCGGTTTTGTTCTTCGAGCCAACAAAGCTGGCGATTTATTAGGACAAAAGTGGAGGTGCTGGATGGTGGTGGACGATGATGATGGCGAAAACAATAAAAGTGATATGCGAAAGATGGGCCTCCCTGCGCGCGACGAGCCTTTCATAAAAAGGAGCGTCTCTTCTGCTCTCACACATAACACAGACTCCGTCGTCGGCATCTGCACGACTCCAAACACACACACACACACACATACATTTATATAACTACGAGAAGAGAGGAGAAGATGAAGATGTCTAGTGGTTTCTTGGCAGCTCAAGGACGCCCGGAACCCCTTCGCTTCGCTCCTCCTCATCTTCTCGTTCCTCTTTTGCAGCGGGCATCGCGCGCCGCACGACGACGGTACCAGCGCAACAAATAATAGGTTCCACTATCGCCGCGGTCCCCCGGAACCCATTGATTATGAACCGGAGCCGAAAAGAGGCACTTTCAGGACCAAAAAAGTAAATTGAAGTTGAAAGAAAGAGAGAATACGGTCCGTCGTTTGTTTCCTACCGCACCACCACGGAAACTAATCGGCCGTGTAATTAATGGTAACGCGGGAGAGAACCAGAAGAACCAGATGACTTATTTACAGAAAGCACAACACGCTCGGTGGTGGTGGTTGTTTTAATGGCCACTCCAAAGTGCTACGATGGCCATAATACATTCACATTTTACACAAGTCTTAACTCTCACGGTGTTACTTTTATTTATAATCTTCTACTTTATGGAGGCTTTTAGTAGCACATCTTAAAATACAAGCGTGCACATTCACTACTCGATGATACTTGTTCTTCTCATAGCACTTGCCAAAGTGTGGAAAGCTCAATTTAATTTATGATATATTCGTATGTCTTTGCATGTATCATCAATCTTAGGCTTCTGGATGTGATTTTTAATATTTTCAACATCGACCAGTATTTAATGAAGAAATACTCTAAAGCGTAAACTATGGGATTAAATAATGAAACAAACCGAATGCGGCGCTATAGAGCCTTGAATTAAGCCGTCGAAGAATGTTTGTTTTTATTGTACGTTTGGTGGGTAGAAGTAAGGTGAAGAAGAGAGGATGTGCCAAGAGTGCAGCAGAAGCAGCGACGCGGATCCATTAATTACAGTTTTCTATCGGCGCCGTTGATCGGCTAATGTTGGGAATTTAACATACACTTGTCCACATAATCGATGGAATTAAAATCAGTGTTAATTGAGTCATAAATAAGCCGATCGGCATAATTAAAAGCGTAACCGAAACGGACACGCGCTCTTAGTGGAAGTAGTAGTAGTAGTAGTGGTAGTGTTAGTAGTAGGTAAGCAATATAATGAAGAATACAAACAGATAATGGACGAAAGCTCTTTTATCCTCTTCATCCCGACTTCGTGCATCCATATTCACTTGTATCTCTTGTTTGCCGTTCTTGCTTTCTCTATTTTTTTCTCCTTTTTGCCGGTGAATCAACAACGTTCTTTTGTTTTTCATCTGCCTTCTCTTGTTTCTCCTTTTCGGTCGCCGTCGGGGAGGACAGCCAAATAAACACAGGCGGCGCGTATCGATATAAAGATGTATCGTAATTATACATTATAAATCACGTCGTGCGTGATCAATCATGTTGTTTGTTACCCAATGGCATAACAACAACAACAGCAACAGCAACAGCAACGACGACGACGACGACGATGATGCCTGTAACTTAATTACTTCATTTCGAGCAGAAGATCGCCTCCAACGGTCCCGGAGGAGGCGAACAAAACAGTTTGAACTTGAATCAA